AACGCGAAAAACGCAAATTTCAAGAGAGCTTTGTTCGTGGGCGTTTAATGGCCGGTGCTCGTAAAATACTTGAGAATCTCATACGAAAATTACCGCCTGACCCCGATATCCCCTCCTCTTTTCCGGAGCTCTCTTTCCCCCGCTAGTCGCGTGCCGCGGTGAATTGCGCGATTATTTGAGATATAAGTTGACCCATTCTTTTCCAACGTGTTATTAGACGCAGGTGAAATCATTTATAATGACTATAGAACCTGGTAAAAAAATCAGATAAGAAATGCCATAGTCTGTATTTAATTTTACGGCAAAAGCGATAAGCTTGATTTCGATGAAACGCGAATTATTTGTTACTAATCGTAGAAAATCTGCCTTTTATTTAATAATAGTAGACGAGTTTAAATTTTCTCGTCTTTTAAAACGCTATTTTACAATGCATTAAAATTATACATGTTCCTGGATAATCTTTGCGCGAAAATCTTTGGTCGAGTCTTCCGCTCGAAATTCGTGTTTCGAGTGCATTTTATCGAGCGCAGTCGCGCGAATTAAGGCTCCTCTCACGTACGCGAACGGACCAAATAAGGAGGCAAGTCTTAAACGAGACGAGTTGTGCCAACAAACTGTGCGCGGATACCCAGGAGACTACACGTAGAAAATTTAGCGCTCAACTATTAATTAATCATTTCGAGAACTCGACGAAATGGCGATACGTGATACTCGCGAAAATCAAATTTTCCACCTTTAATTTCAACAATCACGCTGCGCGCAAAAATTTCGACATATTTATAATATATTCAATATCGTATATCGGTGTGTATCACATGGAAATGCTATTTATTTTTTCTTCCTCGTCCATTACTTATCGACTCCGTAACGTTATCATCTCTCACATAATATTAACGTAATTGCGCAAAATTTATACGTAATCGAAATACGAGAACAATGCGGTTTGCCAAGGTAAATAGAATCCGTCTCGATTTACTCGCACAAACGGGAGTAAGTTTGACCATCGAGTTGCCAAGTGAAATGAATAGGCGTCCAGCAAAGTTGTACACGTTAATAGACGTTGCCGGTTCTACGAGGGACTCGGACGAATTAATTAATGAGGCGTACGCGTGTAGTAGCGAACGTATGCGTCATCGATGGAATTCGAGGAAAATTCGCTCGATGCTCGATTACCAGCAATTTCCGACAAAATTGTTTCGCTTCCGCGTCTACGATATTAATCAAACTTAATTTCTTTCCCCGAGATCAAGTCGACACGACGGTGACATCGTTGTCCACGGCTCTGTCTATCAATTATCGACTCGCATACGTCGAGGAAAGGCGTAGAGCGGCGCTTACATCAACGTGCCGACCAACACCAACCGTCCTATCGAAAGACATGCCCTCGTTCTCCTCACGTGTCACACCTATACATACGGCGAGTGTACGTGTACGTGCGAGAGCGGTACGTTGGACCGACCACGACACGACGCGTTGCCGTAAAAGGCCATTAATGTCCATCGCTTGCGGATCTTCGTCGCTCGTATATCGGCGTCCCTTTCAGCGAGGAAAGCGATCGTAATCGATACGTAATCTTCTCTTCTGAAAAACTACGTTGGCGGCCTGTGCGATTTTCTCGAATAATAATCGCTCGAAATTAAATTTGGCGTCAGCTGATCGCGATTTCCGAGCGAGATTCGCCTCGCCTTTAACCGCATGTCATTCATCGTTTCTGCGCAAATTTTTGTTTACCGTGTAACGTCTAATATCCGTATATCCGTTCTCCGATAATAAGAAAGGGGAATTCCTAAGACGAATATAGTCGCTCGTTGACATTTCTTAATCCAGGAGTCTGATATTACGGAGATTTTTCAATTCGAGAATTTCAAAAGAGGAGAAAATAAATAAATTCCATTGTTACATTAAAAAAGATATTACGAGAGAAAAAAATTTCATTCGAATTTCGGTGTATGCTCGATTTTCACGGAAATACCACATCGAGTGCATCGAAAGCCAAGTTTGCGTTTAGAGAAGATTCTTTCTTAACTATAATGCGCAAAAAATATGAGAATATTTAAAAGCTCCTCTTATGGTTAAGCGGCGAGGCGATTTGCGTGCATTTTCCGCGAGAAGGCAGCGAGATTATTACCGGTGATATTTCATCGAGCCGCTAAAACCAGCCGGCGGTCGGCTTTCGACTCTCCTCTCCTCTCCTCTCCTCTCCTCTCCTCTTCTCTTCTCTTCTCTCCTCTCCACTCCTCGGTGCATTGCTTGCATTAAAGGTCGCGCAATTGTAAAATGTAACTACGTGTAAGCGCGCGCGGTGTATATGAGATTTATGGGCGTGAGCGCCGCCTCCTCTCCGAAATTTATCCCCCTCCTTGCGTCCCTCCCGCTTTCCCTTCACCAAATTCCGCGCTCCTTTTTCGCGAGATAATAATTTCTACACGGAAGAAAAAGAAAGAGAGAGAGAGAGGAGGAGGAGGAGAAGGAAGAAGAGTCTCGGAAACGTTTTGAGAAAAGAGATTCTTTACCGAGGGATTATCATCGGGATACAAAAATTTTTTTTTGAATAGTTTTAATAATTATTGCGGGAATTCTCCACGAAAATCCTCATACTTGATTGATGCAAACTACTCTACTCCCGCTTTCCCTTCGCCAAATTCCGTGCTCCTTTTTCGCGAGATAATAATTTCTACACGGAAGAAAAAGAGAGAGAGAGAGAGAGAGAGAGAGAGAGAGAGAGAGAGAGAGAGAGAGAGAGAGAGAGAGAGGAGGAAGAGGAGGAGAAGGAAGAAGAGTCTCGGAAACGTTTTGGGAAAAGAGATTTTTTACCGAGGGATTATCATCGGGATACAAAAATTTTTTTTTGAATAGTTTTAATAATTATTGCGGGAATTCTCTACGAAAATCCTCATACTTGACTGACGCAAACTACTCTACTCCCGCTTTCCCTTCGCCAAATTTCGCGTTCCTTTTTCGCGAGATAATAATTTCTACACGGAAGAGAAAGAGAGAGAGAGGAGGAAGAAAAGTCTCGGAAACGTTTTGGGGAAAAGAGATTCTTTACCAAGGGATTATCATCGGAATACAAAAATTTTTTTTTAAATAGTTTTAATAATTATTGCGGGAACTCTCCACGAAAATCCTCATACTTGACTGACGCAAACTACTCTACTCCCGCTTCTCCTTCGCCAAATTCCGCGCTCCTTTTTCGCGAGATAATAATTTCTACACGGAAGAGAAAGAGAGAGAGAGAAAGAGAGAGAGAGAGAGGAGGAAAAAGAGTTTCGGAAACGTTTTGGGGAAAAGAGATTCTTTACCGAGGGATTGTCATCGGGATACAAAAGTTTTTTTGAATAGTTTTAATAATTATTGCGGGACCTCTCCACGAGAATCCTCGTACTTGACTGACGCAAACTACTCTAAAGTACTCTGAGATACCATCTGTCAAGTACCGGCATGCAGCGGCGTAACACGAATTATTGTTGCGCAAACTTTGCCGTGCGAGAGGTTTAACAAGATACGTTACATTCCAGTGAAGCTAACCTTAAGGCTGTTTTTCGATAGCGGAGACGCGAGTGATGATGCGCTTCACGATCGACCGCTTCTCGGTCCATCCACAGAGAACCGAATCTCTAACGCGCGTGGCTTTTATTATTTTTTTTTCGGCGAGATTCTTTTTTGTACAAGCATTGTAACGTAACGATAAAAAAAAAGTCGAATCTTGTCCAATCAATACTGCGTGCACCTTTATAGATTGTTATCCTAGCTATTAGTTAACGTATCGTCAAAATCGACGTTACAAAACGCGTACAAATATTTTGTTCGCATATTTGCCATCGTCAAAACAGAACCATTATTCCATGTAACGTAAAAAAGTGTATCTTTACAATATATTAAATTTTCATTCTCTCTCTTTCTCTTTCTAATTAAGACTGAAATTTTCTAATTAAGACTCATTCTCTCTCTTTCGCTTTCTAATTAAGACCAAATACAAATTGACGATAAAGAGAAACAAGGAATAAATATGTAACTTGGTTGATATCTGTCGCGGTGTGTACTCAAGAGTCCATTTATTTATTTAAAATTTACTTTCTCTCATTAACCAATTAAGAAGATTGCGCGCTACAAACTTGCTCCGATTCTTTCCAAAGTTTCTATTAACAAGACTAACAACGGGGAGTCCCGTTACAGCCCGTTATCGGGGATAAACTCGATCTTTAGCGTAACTCCCCCAGCGTGAACGTCTACTTATTACGCAAACAAAAGTTCAGAGCAAGAAAGAGAGAAAGAGAGAGAGAGAGACGGAGAGAGCAAGAGAGAGGGAGGAGAGAGAGAGAGAGAGAGGAGAAAGAGAGAGAGAGAGAAGAGAGCGAGACGCGCGTCACCTCCCGATCCGGCATTCATTGACATACGTTGCTCCGAAATAGCGTTTTGCTTTCGAGAGACGAGCTCGAATATCTCTCTTTGAACGCGAGAGAAATGTCGTATATACCATTATTCCGATATATTCAAATCGTACAAATTCAACGTATGTACAATTACTCCGACTTGACGCGCAATGGCGCGAGCAAATATGTTTCACGATAAAAGTGACCTGACAAATTTGCCTATCGTTTGTTTATCTCAAAGTCATTCGTATTTTGAAATTGAGATTAAATTGTTATCGTTGAAAAATGCGAGACGAATTTTCGAACAAATCGAAAGCGGCCTACTTCGGATTTGAACGCCACTGGCCGATGACGAGACGCCAAGAATGCGCGAGAATATCTCGATCGTAATACTTAACTTTATAGAGAGAAAGGTAGCGCGCGTTGTGTTTGTATAAAACGTTGATGCCGCTGATTCGTCGAGTCACGTATCGACGATGTTTGGAGTCGTCGCGATAAAGAGAAACGTCCGCGATGTCCCGATCCTCGAGACGCGGACTCCCGTTCGGGAGTCGCCTTTTCTCTCTCTCTCTCTCTCTCTCTGTCTGTCGATCGCGTCGCGGATACGATAAGCAGATGGGTACTCACCTCGGTAGCGGCGTTGCATCCCGCGAGGATCACCACGACCGTGCTCAACAGAATCCAGTGTATCCTTAGTCGCATTTTTATCCCGTAATCTCGATGGGCCCCGCTCACGGTGCCCGCTCCGTTGTATTCACGAATTCCGGGACGAGCAGCCGCGAAGAAGCCGCGTAACGTAGCGCAGCCGAACGTATAGGAATAAACCACTAAAAAAAATCCCCCGGAACAACAACGCGACACACACCACACTGATCGATGAACCGCGAGACACTGGCGGCGCGACGATCGCCCGCTATCGTCGACTAGACGACCGCGACTGGCCGCCATGTTACCGCGCCGCCCCCTCCGCCGCGTTCGGCGCCATCTGTCGAGAGCGCGACGAGTCAGATGGATAGATCGACGTGGTCGATAAGCGACAAATACGATAACGATCTGTACCGCGCGTGAACTTGGAAATTGCGATATTTGACATTCCTTGAATAAGATCTGTCGGAATGATTAATTAATTTATCATTAATTAATTTGTAGAATAATTAACAATAAAATTCCTAACGATATGATTATATTAATAGATATATAGATAATAGAAATATATTGTTGACCAAATGATTTTGGATCAAATGATCATAATTACTGTCGATAAGAATCGTTTAATTAAATTTATTTCCAATCTATTTTATGCAAATCACAAGATGCAATTTTGAAATAACAATGCGTGAGAATCGCGCTAATTCTTCTTATCTCCAGTGGATAAATCTTTTTCCAGGTCTTTCAAAAATCTCAGATTTTCGTTTATGCCGCGATTATATTCTTCGATTTTATTCCGCATTACTTGTACTTCTCTCTGCATGTGTTTTATCTCGTCTTGGGTCTTTTCCTTGACGACTTTCAATAATTTCTTATTCTAAATATTTACATAACGCGTTGCATGTTATGGCTATAACGTTTCATCATAAAATAACTTGCGATGATACCTGTTTGTAATAATATTCTGTTTCATATGCAACATCGCCGAATGACGTTTGGCTCTTCTTTATGTGCGAATCATGCTTCTTTCTTCTATTAAAATATCTAAAACTGAGAGAAGCGCTTGCATATTTATATTGTCAATCGGAGAAAAATGACATAATCACAAGCGAAACATCTGTAAATCAAATATTTTTAAATTTTTTAAATACCTGGGCACATGCATTTTTCTATAAACATATCGAAACATTGCGCGTACGTATAATTACTAAATAAAAAATTTACTATGCGATATAGATATTTAATGTGTAAATTTTATGATTCACTAATTAAATAAAAAATATTTTTGAAAGGTTATACAAGGCCGGATAAAACAAACTCGCATCCGAGTTTTGAAAGATCAAAATTGGCGCGCCTTATTAATCGTCTTAAAATAATTTAACGTTAAGACGAGGTTAAACAAGAATGAAAAACACGTTTTATTCTCAAGTATATAACTGTCTTTCAGACATTTAAAGTACAAAGACTTCTTACGACAGTCTCCCCAAAAAGATAATCACTCTATATAATATTCGAGTTCATGCTTAAAGTCATAATTAAATTAAGAACACTGCCTTTAATATCTATGTAACATTTTGTACATAAGAAAAAAATTGCTGCAATATTCTATTATTTCTACTATTTCCAATCTTTTTATATTGAAATTAATGGTATCGCCAAAATCAGAAATATTACGCTAATAAGACTTGACGCATTCACTCTTTCTTATCCATATCTGTAATCCGTTTTTTGTGACGATTTATAGCTTCCTGATGACGCTTAATTTGCTCCTCGTGGAATGAGATTTCATCGTGAAGGCTCTCTTTCATCTTTTGTAATTGTTCTTTTTGCTGAAATAAAATTTTTAAACTTATATAATAAGCAAATGAAATTGTAATGCAAAGAACGTTAAAAAAAGGGAAAAAATACTAACCAGATTATAAAAGTATTGATCTTCATGGGCAGCTTCCATCTTTCCGAAAGAACCACCAGCATCACGAATGGCACCACCACTACCACCTCCTTTTCCAGCACCAGAACCACGTTCTCCAGACATTCTTATCTGACTATAATACACAATATATTTAAAATATAACAAAATATTTAAAAATAAAAATCCTTTATTTAAAAAGAAAATAGGATATTATTGAAAGGGGTTATGCCTACTACTATCTACTAAAGCATTACATAATGTTATGATAATCATTTGGGTCATGTCACAAATCTATAATACATTAAAGAGAGCCAATTTTGCATTTAGCGAAAAAATAAGCTCATTTCTGTAGATTCGGAAAAGAAGATAAGCAAGTGCGGAATAAATAAAAAGACTAAAATTTATCCGTGATGGAGGAAAATACCGGGTAAGAAGCATGAATGAAAGGTATATATTCGCATAAATTATCGCGTTTTCGAAAGTATCGTTGCGGTACCTTAACGCAGAGATATTCCGCGAAAACGTCGTAATTGCTCGTTGCATTTTTTCTCGATCACTAATCACTCGATATCAGACGGTAGGCGAGGATTTGGCAGACCGACAAGAACGACCTGGAGCGGTCTCTTGTCATAAACGCTTATTCTTAGAACGTAAATCTCATAGTCAGTCGCGCCCGGCGATGCTGGCGCCGCGAATATCACGAACTCCCGCGATTTCAAATGTCGAGCATTCTTTCCTCGAGCATTCGGACTAAATTATAATCGACAATACATCAATAAGAATGTTGAGCCAAACGAATCGACCTATAATATTCGGCGGCTTGATCTTCCATCAACTGCTTCTTGATCTCGGATGTTTTCAATTCGTTAATGGCTGTCTGTTTTTGCAACTCCGCACGTTCCAGCTCGATGTGCAACATCCGCAACTTGATCTCGTGCTCGCGTTGCGTGGACTTGAAGATCCACGTGGCTCTCTGCACCGATTTGTCCTTGTCGGACGAGACCGGATCGTTCCAACCCACGGAAGCGGAGGATAACTCGTTTCTCACGTCGTTGCGTTCTGTAGCTTGAAAGAAGAACAAACTCGTTTGCTGTATTTCGCGCGTAGAATTTAGACAAAAAAGAAACATCCGTGTACCATCGTCAATACGGGATGTCGATACGCTGTCGGAGCAAGTAGTTTTTTGTTCGACAAGATCTACGGGCTCGTCCTCCGTCGCGATCCTGGAACGCTTCTGCGGCAAAAAGCTGTCATTCGACAATTTTTGCGACAGCTCGCCGCGACTGTTCTCGTCCTCCGTATCGCTGTTGACCTCGAGCTTAATCTCGTGTCCTGGCCCTAAATAATTGTCCCGATTTTGAATTTTGAATACAAGGATAATTTCGAAAGTAGCGAGGAGTCGCTCGAAAACCGCGTCCGAAAGCCCAACCTGACGTCTCCGGCGTAGGTAACGTCAATTTATCCAGGATGACGTGTAACGCCGTCCGATTTGTCGGATTTTCATTATCCTGACTACTGTCGTCCGAACGATCGGCCTCGCAATCGTTCTTGCGCACGCTCTCCATCAGTCGCCATACCTCGATCGAAAGATTCGACGGGTGGGACTTGGCGGCCGCTTCCGGTCCCAAAGTTCGCACCTGCGCGAACGAGACGCACCGTAAGAAAGAGAACAATTTATGTTTAAAAAAACGCGCCTCGAATCTTAAACAATCTTAAACGACCGCACCTTTTCGGCATACGTATACATCTCCATCCTCGCCTGCGCCTTCATCCGTCGCCATTGTTCCCTGATCCTGGTAATGTCCCGGTCTGCGGAGAATCTGCCGCGAAATGCGCAATAGATCTGTTGCCAGGCGAGGGACTTCATCGCGGACGCGGCCGCGTCAATCTTCTTGTTCTCGATCGCGTTCACATGGTGCTTGATCAGGGTAAACAAGGCGCTCTTCTCCTCGGGGATCCAATTCTGCGTCCTCTCCCTCTTCTTCAGCAGCACCGTGGTCGCTTCCGCGGACATGCTCCTTTACGGAGCGCCGTTAACGGCTTTGCTCAAAGGAAGCACCGACTTTTGTCTAATTTGAAGTTAATCCAAGCCGATTCGCGGATACAAACGATGTCCCCTACACGCGCATTGATCCACCGCTGTTTCGCGGCTTCGTTTGCTTGTTTAAGCGCGGTTTTAGAACAGTCAGCTGTTTAGTTGCTACCGACGTCGTCGATGTGTCTACCGAGTGTCTCTCGAAACTCGAAAGTCGCCGCGATTAAATCGTCTACTTTGATTAGATTACATTTTTTAAAATCTCTCTCTTTATACTTTATAAATTATTATTTTATCAATATGCAGCATCGATTTTTGTTTCCGTGATTAATTCGAAAAGCGTGACGTGACGTTTCATTTACGATTAATACGTGTGTCTGCAATAAAATTTTCAATATATAATAATATGTATATATCTTTACGAGACACTATATTTTTGCTTCTTATATAAAATTTGCTAAACAATATTAAATTGAATTGTATTATAGACGGAACGCGAAGGACGCATTGGATGAAACACGAGCGTTCAGAGCGAAATCCAAAGAGGAGAAGATAATGTTGAAGCTCGGTAGTGTAAACAGCCGAGTGATAAACGAGCGACTTAAACCCGAACTAAAGGACGACTAAACGTCGGCCATTTTGGCACAGTACTAGCTAGAACGCGCTCGATATTAACAAATCTCGGTTCGCGGGACGGGAGAGGAGAGAGGACGAGATGAGGACGGGAAGAGAGAGGGATATCCGACGTTCCGCGCAACGCAAACATTGTTTCGTTTCATTTCGCGACCCGTCGCGGAATCATATTGCGCCGATTCCAATATTTCCATCGTTTTATTGCGATTCCAGCTGATCCCCACCTCTCTCGTCGAGCGTCGTCGCGTCCGCGTTTTTCTCTATGTTATCTGTCCCTACGAATACCTCGACAATCAATTGTCATCGATAGATTATCTTGGCACCTTTGTGATAAGAAAAATTCTTAGATTAGACTTCCAAATAAGCAAAGAATAATAAATAGAGATAAGTGTAAAATTTTTGCACACACACATATAATTCTATTTTTAATTGCTTACTCGCTATTTTCGTTCTATTAAATCAGTTCTGGAAATTCACACACCGATCACATTTAAAAAATTGATAGCGTTATTTTTTTTTTGTTTCTATCTTTTCATAATCTATCACAAAAGTTAACAGAAACAGTTCCACTTTACCACGCAATCGTAATCACACTATTTGCAATCTCTCTCATTCTTGTTCTTTATACGTTCTTGGGTTTTATGATCGGTTTATATAACACATCAGATAAGTTAGTTGCATACGCGAAAATTAAACGCCCGCGAAAAGAAAGTTTTTAATTCCTCGAGCAAAACAAAAAATGCTGACAACGCAAAGTTATAGCACGACAAAATACTTGTCGCGTAATCTCGAGTTTATCGAACAAGATTGCTAAATCGAAATCTGTTTATTTCGAACATTTTTAAAGCTTATTGATATTTTTATAAACACGCTTCACGACTGCCTCTTTCGGTCGCCGACTAAATAATTGATCTTGATTCTCTTCTTCTCTTGGTGCCAAAGTATCCAACAACATTCATCAGAATTATCAGAAGCAGCAATCCGACCATGTCCCACCAAAAATTTCCTTCGTTATATCCATACTCTGTTAAAACTTCCGTTCCATTCGATAAACAAGGCAGATCACGATTGATTGGACAATCTAAAAAAATATCAGAATATTAGTAAATATGTTCGTTCATCTATAATTGACAACTGATATTCTTTAATTGATATTACATTACCAATGTTCTTTATTTTCGACCAGTGTATTATTGATAGAGCTTCGGTAGAGTAATAGAACATCGACATATATTTAAAGTATGTCAAGTAGATCGGCAGAGTTCTATAAAAATAAGGAATATTTGATATACTATATTAATCAATTCATTATACAATATATATATAATATCGATATAATGCTTTACCGGAGATTGTAAAATACACCCGCCATCAAAAGGAGCAGCAAATCGAGCGGTACCATTATCGCGGTAACAATATCGACATTGGTGATCCAACTGGAAGTCATCATGCCGTATGCGATACCGCAAATCGCTGTCGTCATCGTACAGAAACAATAAAAGCAAAGGTCGATCAGCCGAAATTCCAAGTGTAATAGGAAATATATCACGATCGTGAACAAAAGTGCTTTAAATATTGCCTTGGGTATCTGAAGAATTTTATATCATAATTATATATTAATCGATTCGTTTCGATTCATTTCTTTTTCACAGTGTGTTAAATAATTACCAAGCCCAAAATAGTGGCGACGTAATAGGGTCCTGGCGCATATACGGTACTCTCACGAAGATAAAGAACAAGTCCGCCAGGTATTTCGTAAATGACCGAATAGGCGACTGTAAATATAATTTCAGATATCATCAAATATAACGCACCTCGAACACTTTGTATTCCCTCTTGCGTCGATGAATTAGCGCCGATATAAAAAATACCGACAAAGATTGCGGATAGCTGCAAGATTATATAATAGTTTTTCTTTTACATTAAAAATTATTCACGTTTGAAAATATCAAAATTTTTTGTTTTTTATTTTATTTATTTATTACCGAGAAAGAAAACCATGCGATCCAATTGTCGGAAACTGTCCTTATATCTTGCAAAAATATTCTCCAGAGCAACCAATAAAATTGTACAAACCATCCAGATTTTCTATAACAAAGATATATACATATAATAATAAATTAGATCTACAGATATTCTTTTAAAAGAGATTCTTTTTCGTCATTTTTTATTTTAGTACTTTCGTGGAACAATGCGAAAAATTGTCTTGGTATTTTCAACCGTAGGAATTTTTGATAGTGATGATTGCCAGAAAGCTCGATATAATTCAATATTGCGATCTGTTGTCTCCGATCTGTTTCGGCGTGATAGAATGTTTACATAATATTCAGACTCATCGTAGTTTATAGGACAGTGATAATCCTGGCTATGCAAACAATGTTTTGTCATTATTACTCGTCGCGATTTAATGCAAGTGCTATTAATCAAAATGTCATGTTTACCTTTTAAAAAAATCTGTAGCATTTTCCAACGTTCCAAAGTATATCGATCTTCCATCAGCCATTAATAACACGTGACTGAACGCATTGTATATTGTCATACCCGGTTGATGAATCGTACAAAAAATTATCGTGCCTCTCGAAGCAATCAGTTTTAACGATTGCACGACGCATGTTGCGGCAAAAGTATCCAGACCTATATTTAATAATGGACATAATCAAATTTCTTTCCCGCGCAGCGATAACTTTGACATTCTCACCTGTAGTTGGCTCATCTAGAAAAAATATTTTTGGCTGCGTCACTAATTCCGTGGCTAACGACAAACGCTTTTTTTCACCACCCGATAGTTTCGATATAAGAGTATCGATACATTCGTTTAATGCAAGGTCTCGCAAAAGTTGTTCGGCCAAGGATTTTCTTCCTAATGCGCTACAATTACTTTCCATTTTCAGAGCACACTAAAGAAATGCTTGATATCAACTCTCTAATATGTATATAATACAATTTCTCCTTATTGCAAAAAAATTATATTGTAAAATTTAAATTCGCTCTCAAAATTATATTTAATTAAATTTAATTAAATTTAAATTCGTTCCCAATAGCAATTCGTGAATAGAAAGAGCAAAGAGAAATAAGCGAAATCGTTATTAAATATATCTCTTCAATACCACAAATGACATATATTCTCTTGGTGTGAGTGCAGATGGCAGAGCGTCAAATTGCGGCATATAACTCGATATTTCTGCCATCGTTTCTTTGGAAATGTCGTGCCCATTGATCTTCACTGTGCCCGAAGTTAATTTAAGCCTTCTTGCCAGAGCAGCAAGAAATGTGGTTTTGCCGGCGCCGCTAAAGAAATAAGTCTATCTTTGATGTGAATTTATCGTAAAATTATCACGATTAGATATGCTAATGTTTTGCGTACCTCGGTCCTAATATAGCAAACATGTTACTAGTTTCTGCGTATCCGGATACTAAAAAAAGTATCGATATTGATAAATATTATTTATCGATAAATTATTGAACAACAGATATTTAATTTAATCTAGATCTTAATAGATTCGTTTTTCGCTGCTATTTTAATATCGATAAAATATTACCTCCTTTCAGTATAGTAAACGTTGACACGCATTTTTTACTCGAGAATTTGCACCACACTTTTCCCGAACACGCATCATCTTTAACAGACACACTAACGGTTAAATTTTCCCAGAACAGTTGAGAAAGTTGAGAAGTCATCTTGATTGAATCTGTTAATTGTATCATTGTAACTATTCATTTCTAAACGTTCTAAAAAGCTTCTCTGCTTAATATTTGTCAGAGCATCTTGAAACTACAAAAATGCTATCTCTATTTCTCTGTTTCTTAACATTTCTTATCATCGTTATCTAAAGTCATATAGATGCTTGTGAGAGAGATTAATGTACCAGACCTTACTTAATTTTAAATTACAGACAGATATTTATCACTATATAATTTTAGATAAATATAGTGAAAAAGGAAGGCTGGATGATAAGAAAAGATAGGATGATACGTAAATGTATAAGAAAAAAAACCAAGGAAGAGAACCAACATATTACGCACTTTCTGATATAAATAAATTTAATACAGTTAAATATTTTTTATACCTATATTGTTGTATCCTTTTTTATACCTATATTGTTGTATCTATACAAAAGCTTTAAAATAAAAATAGGAATATTATTATTCAATGACAATAGACTTATACGTATATAGTTTTTTCGCAAATAACACATATATGTATATATCTACAATTTTCTCTGCGATAACACGATACGCGCTGTGTTACAAGTCGTACTATATAAAAATGCGAAATATTGCTCGAAAAGTGAAAAAGATCATTAATGTAAAATCTGAATTATTTACAATAATGTATGCATGCATATGTAACTTGACACACATCGATTATGTATATATCTACGCTAATCTATATTTCATAAATTTCTATCAAGAATATTATATATCTGCATTTTTTCTCGTATCTTGGAATTGAGAAACGAGATACCATCATTAAAATTCCAACTTTTATTTTCGCCTTGAATTTCAGTTTAGACAATTGCGACGTTCCCGGAAATTCATTTAAACGCATTGTCTACTGTGTAAAATGATCATTAGTTGCGACATGACGCACTAATTGCAATCAGCTACTTCGAATAATTAGTTGTGATTATGCGAACGAAGGCACAATGTTGTCGACAAATCAATTTAAACTCAATGAGATAAATTGCAAAATGTATGATTGATAAAATTACAAATAGGAAATGTATTATTGTCAATCTAACGAAAAAAAAAAAAACAATTAAAAATACATAATATTATTTTAACAAATTCACGTAATAATGTATCGATTGACTGAAGTAATAGTACTATTCTTTTTACTACAACAATATATAAAATTTTTACTTCTTGGTTCTAATGATGCTAAAAGCGATCCTATAAATAGTAGTAATTGATTTGATTTTGGGCGGAATTTAAGCATTGTTGTATAATCTACTCATAATTTGTTCAATACTTGCATATACACATACTATATAATATTATAATTAAAACAAGTATTGCATAAGAAAGTTTATAATATCTGAAAAGGTAAAACTTCGTTTCATATGCTTAACAAATGTTTCGAGATTTTAATAAGTATAATATAAGTATAATGGTATATAACACAGTATAAAATGTATAATGCATATATATATATATGGTATTGCGATAATTGCAGGCTGAATCTAAATACAATTTCATGATTGTTATTAATCTACGATTTGCAATAGCGTATCGATTTATTAAAAAGGAATGTATTGGGAAGAATATCAAAGTCATTATTTTATTATCACGCAGTTTAAGCATTACTTATATCATATAAGGAATATTTAAAAAAATGTATACACATCTATACTTATTGTAATTTTTTTATATATGTAAATATATTAAATTATCGCTTTTTTATGCATTCTGTACATCTATAAAGTTATTTGAAATGTCGCTCATCAAACGAGTCGAATTGATAGGTAAATAATTATCGAGAGTACATTCTCTAAAAGTGAATCGGTGAAAATATCACTTCTAATTTAAACAGTAAAATAGATTTTACTGAGAATCAGTGAATATTTTATTAATCTTCAGTGGAAACACTTATTTTTGATTTTTTTATCTTATATCTCACTGATTATGGTCAGTTAAAGTAAAATTTACTGTAAAATCAATAATTGATAGTTCGTTCATTTATCGCTATCTCTTTCGTATTTAAGTTTTTTGTCATAAGAATTATATAAAATTTGCAAAGAGCGACAGATAAAATTAGAAACATTACTTTGATTTAATTTCTGATACAATCTCAATAGAGAGACTTCAGTTATTAAATAGATTTTATAAGTCGGACAAATAAATATCTGGTGACTTAATGAAAATTATTTGTTCGTTGTCTATTTAAAATAACAAGTTCAATGTGCATGTATAAATAAAATTTTTAATTTTATATAACGTAGATAGAAAGATGAATTGTAATTTAATATTACTGATTGAAATAGTCAATATTATTAATTAATTTTTTCAATAAAATATCACTGATTTACAATGCTGTACTTATAATTGCTAATCAGTGACTATTTACTGTTTTTCAATGATAATACACTGAGTCACTTTTAGAGAGCATTATCGGATAATTTCTCCCTCGAAAACGAGAATTCGACAAGCAAATGCTTCCTATTAGAAGAATAGCAATACGTAAGACGTTATGATATTCACGACATTCATGAAGACACATTGAGGTTGATGAATGGAAAATCGCGACCGAGATTTCGAACTTGAGCTCGACAATTTACCTATTTGTCAGCAGCCGCAAGATTTTTTGGAGCTTGTCGGCGATTGACTTAACGCGAACCGCTCGCCATCCGTCTGGTCTTGAGAGCCATTGCCTTTCATAACTTGATCGTTCTGAAGTATCTAAAGTAAACAAATTTTACAATCACATTATACGAATCACTATTTTACAATTACATTATTGTAAAATAGATACAATAAAAAGAAATGCAACGAGATAATAAGTGACCGTTTAATCGCGAATTTAATGTACATGCTAATTGATTTCATGTTGATTAATTAATTATGCGTCATAAGTCATAATCATCTCTAACACGAAAGACGTCAATGATTAATCTGTCGTGCGTCACGCACGAAGGGAAACGATATTATATAGACGCATAAAGATTCTTTACTATATTTAATTTTATTTTCGAGTTTGATTTATTATCAAATAATAAATTATTCATAATCGCATATTCGCTTTTGGATCTTTTTCTAAATTTCTTATGCGTTTTAACTCGAGAAATATATCACTTACTTTGTTGACGAGAAATTTGGCTGCTTCCTCGATATTAATATTTTCCTTCGCCGAGGTTTCGAACCAGCCAGAAAAGTTCTTTTCTTTACAATATTCGTCCATCTTAGCGGGCGAGTTAACCAGACCTTCCTTCTGCTGGTCGCATTTATTGGCCAACAAAACGCACGGTATTGGCGATCCGTCAGGAAGTTGTACCTTTGAATCCAAATCTTGTTTCCATTTCACTACCGCATCCAACGTTGCGCTTCTCGTCACATCGAACACTATGAAAGCACCTACGGCTTCCTTGTAGTAAACTCTGGTCATATTTCCGAATCTCTCTTGACCTACATCAAACAAAAGCATTACACGTACAAGTTAGTTAAATTTATCAAATAATAAATTGACGTAAGATGCGATAATAACCCGAGTATAATTTATTAAGCTATCAACATTATACAAGTTTAGAGAAAAATGTATTCAAGATATTGGACAATAGTATCGGAAAACAAGCATCAGAAAACAAGAAGTTACAGGCATGTGACGCGCGCAGAATATTAAAATGTTAATCTATCTGTCAGACACGAGTATCATGTTTCATTACATTGAAGCTAACAAAAAAAATAACATTGTAAATTATTACCGACCTGCGATATCCCATAACTGCAGTCTAATAATAGTATGTGGATCCCAGTTTAGCACTTTGAGAGCAAAGTCGACTCCAATCGTCGCGCGATAATGTTGCGAGAAGAATTGATGAACGTATCGCTTGATGATAGATGTTTTTCCTGCTCCAAGCTCGCCGATTACTAGTATTTTGTACAAGTGCTCCCGTTTCTCGTCGACTCCAAGATTCGATGCATTACTCGATGACGACTGAAACAATAAAGCAAAATATAGTAAATATTGGAAAGCAAAAATTTTTTTTTTTTCAAAGACCGATATCTCTTCTTAAGAATCTCGAATCATACATCATTCTTTCATTTTCCATTTTTGTATATAGTACATTAATTCAATGGTAGGTTTTAATTAAATTTTATTATTTTATTAGTCATGAAGAGACCGGAGATACACGTACATTAAAGATAAATCTTATAAAAATTTTTAATATTATGAGCGCAAATACTTGAGATACACGTACATTCCATTTCCATTCTTTTGATTGTGCTTTCCACTTGCTGAGATTGAACGTATTTAAATTTCGCCAAATTTTTAATTCCGCATTCATATTTACGCGACTTTCTGGACGCTAGAAATGCGCTGAGAAATGAAGATAATGAATGCTCTTACGCGAATGATTTTACTGGTATAGCTCACGCGAGCGAAATGGACCGAGCGATTCACGTGTGAGAAAATTATCCCCGAGTATGCGAACCGCATCTGGGGAACTGTAAAAGCTATAAATATAATAATAAGCCTTCTGCTCTTAATAATTGTATCAATAAATTAAATAATCAATTTGTAAATTCCATTTTGTTTATAATGACGATTCTTTGAAAAATAAACTGATCATTTATATTTGTAATTTTCTTCATTTCCAATTTCATATTTTGTGCGCCAATTTGCGTATATTTTTTCCATTACTCATAATTTTAAATATATGCATAGTTTTATGATACACGATGCCAAGCCACGTAATTTGAAACCCCTAACATACAAGATTCAAAGGTTTAGAAAGCGGATCAGTATCAGAAAGGTATCACATCTGTTTACATTATAGAGTTAGTAATAGAATATCTACTGCATTAAACTATATAAAATCTTTTGATGAATGAAAATATATATGTACATATATATGCATATAAACGTGGTAAAAATTCAACATTTTTCGTTTCAGAATTTCTTGAAAAAATTTTAAAATATCAGGTAAATTTTAACTTATCAGATTGGGATTGCAAATATGGAATGATTCACATTATCGCATTTCCAACACGACGAAGCTGCATCATATACTGGCATAGTATTCCTTTCATCATGTTTCGTAATTCGATATATTACTTGTAATGCTTCGCAAAATGAAGATATAGTCTTAACATCTTTAAAACATCTCTACCGGTGACGTCGTTCGCGTTCTACGCGATAGACCTCACCTGGTCAGCAACAGCTCCCACCATGGCGGCATGAGATTTGCTGAGATTGTCCATATTATTATAGCTTTCTGTATAATTTTCCTCGATGCTACCCAGGTAACCCAGTGCCGTTTCCTCGTCGAAAGTAGAAAACGCGTCGAAAGTTTTCACGCTGATCTGCCGGGCTCTTGTCTTCTTTCGTTCTTCTTCTCGCTCAAAAAACACGTCGGCGGTGCTTGGTGGCTCGTCGTCGATTGTCAAACTGCTAATCGCGATCACCGAGTCTTTCGAATGAGAATCCTTGGACGAAGAATCGAAGAAACGTCGTTGAAATATCGCTCTTTTCTCCTCCAGCAACGATAATTTGCGGCGTACCTCGACGGGCGACGATTTCGATGTCATTCGTAAATCCCAAGAATCCGAATCGGCCCTTGTTTTACCTGTTCTGACCGCAGCATCCTCTGCGGGCTTCGTCTCGCTATCTCTCGACCAGTTCGACAATGCGTAAGGAAGCGTCGAATAGCATTGCACGTCGGAACGCGAGACTGTGTCTTGCTTCTCTTGCTGCGGACGTTGCGCGGTGTCTGTGCAAGAGCGAATTTGAGAGGAATTTGCGATTGTCATTGAGAAAACGATTATCGTGTGTCAACTTTTCAATCTTAAATAGTTCTCAGCAATATTGCTACAATGTTTTATTACTATTGCAAATAATTGTAAGGCATTTTAAATGAAAAAGTTAAATATAAAACAGGGTAAAAAAGATAAAAGATAAGAGCGACGCGCTAAAAGCATATAAAAGAAATAAAAATAAAAACCTGGAGAAATATATCAGAGTTTATTAAACTATAATGAAGATTTATGAAAATTTATTTATGAAAATTTTTGTTATTTATGAAAATAACATAATAAAGAAATCGATCGTTAAAAATTGAATACTGCAGAATTCAATTCTTCAGTTTCAATTTGCACATTTTATCCGTAATCCCCATAGTATCTGTACAAGGCTCACCCTGTTGAACAAAGCTCTTGATGGTTACCAATGGCGTTGTATGTTGCACTACAGTGACAGTCTTCGGTGTTTCGAGTAGCTTTTCTGGTTTCTTAGGCTCCCCCTTCGTTCCTTTTCCTTTCTCCGGACTGTTGTTGTCCTCTTGTCCTTGCTTCTTGATCGGCTCGTTCGGATGAACAGGCGATTCTTGCGGGGACTGAGTCTGCGATCGACTACTATCACCTTCTGGAGTATGTCGCGTTTCTTGCTGTTCCGAGGACTGACGAAATTTGTTGAAGCTCAATTTACGCACCAACGAATGCGACTTCTTCTTTTTCTTCTTCTTCAAGATCGAGGATGCCGATTTCGGTTCCTGGAGCTGCTGCGATTGCTGCCAAGATATCTCTAAAGCGAAAGAGAATCGCGAATCAAGCAAAATAATCCAGTTTCTCGAAAATTATTATTCTCGAATATAAATAAAGGAAGAAATCTTTCTAACGTTTTATTTGAATCTTTTTAAGATAATTTTTTTAAATTAAGAGAGATCAAAAATTAAAAAATTCAGAAAAAAAATATCATAAATATTTTCATAAACTGTGCATCTATTCTTCATCGCATATCGTTTAAGTATCTCACATGTGTGCATAACACAAAGCGTAAAGTTTTCATCGAGTATGCCGGGATTAACCTTTGTCATCCCCTATTTCGAGCTTCCTCAAGGAAGCTTTTTCATCCTGTTCCGTGTTCGCTTCATAAGATGGATCGGTCTCGCGGGATTTCTTCTTGATTTTGAATATACCACTCTCGCGAAAGCTGCTCTTGAATGCACCGAATTTGCCTTTTTTGCGATCATCCGTGCTAATGTTGGAAAAGAGGGTCGCAACGCCACCGCTGCTGCTGGTCAGAGTATCGAGACTGGAATTACTGTCACCCGCGGTGACATATTCGCCGGAAGTAGCCGTAGTTGGCTTCTGCTTCTCCTCGTCCGACGAGAAGCGCGCGATTACCGTGTCGGGCGAGCTGCCACCTTCGCTCTCTTTGTGAGCCATAATCGCGTCGCGAAAAAAAAAAAAATAGAGGACGGGAGGAGAGAATTTGCGTGTGTGAGGGCCGATGAATAGGCGATGAAAGAAAGGGATGATAGATCAAAGGACTGTCTCTTCGCTTCGCCGTTTTCCCGTTTCTTCCGTCTCACTTCATCGACTATTGCTTGGCTTCCTTAGCCGCTTCTGGAAACCTTAGAATAACGCACCGGTTTCGATCGGTCGTGAACGGATAATCCACCTTGTTTTTTTTTCTTCTCGTCTCTTTAGAGATTCTTTCGTTGCGAGTAAAATCATGGAGAGAATCGGAGAAGTTTGAAAAATTTCGCATGAAATTTCCAATCTCGTAATTGTCAAATTATTTGAATTAATTATTGGAATGTCGAGATGAGAAATGTGATATATTCCATTCATAGATATAAAAGTTTCAGGAAATTAAACTTCTCTAATTTCCTTTATTCACATTTCTAAAATATGGAATAGGCATTTCGAATAATTTAAAAACAATGATATAAAAATTTAAGAAACTTTAGATAATTTTCAAAAAACTTTTCATGATATATTAGGATTATTTTGCAGCTTCTGAATACATCTTCGTTTTTCTCTTGCACTACATTAACACAAACACTCTGTAAAACACTGATTAAAATATTGAATTTCATGAAACATACTGATAGATTTTTATTATTTATAATATTATTAATTATTTATAATATAACGAATTAAAATAACATTGATATATATATTAATAGAAAGAGCTATGCAAGTGATCAAAGAAACTGCAAGCCCAACGGTGTCCTGAACCGCACTAAATGTTGATATAAAAATATAAGAAGCCAAAGGGGGTGGGGCATTCAAGTATCCCCTACCAGACAAGTAACGTACGAGTGCGTACCCGGTGTCTCGCCTTCTTTGCGTATGAAAAAATGTGCGTGTACATGTACATACATGTGTATACATATGTAAACTGGGTATCTATATGTACTTTGCACGTATGTAATCTGTCTTTAAACATGCATGTGGATCCCGTACGTGTATCTCATACAATAGTATCCGTTTCAGATGGATTCCGCTCATATGTATAAGTACGTGGCTTGCCACAAGTTTTCTTTTAGACGTTAGACTGCACTACCGCGCACAATAGGCATATTACATAAAATCCGCTATACGATAGTGCAATGATAAGCGTAAATACTGCAAATATGAGAGAATTGATTGAAATATACTGTATATGCGAAAAAATATGTAATGCATTGCGTGATAAAATAGCGCTTGCAAGTTTCATCATTAATTTATCCTTCGGAAATAATTTTGCACGCATATATGAAAAATTTCTAAATGGTACCCGTTCGCATTTAAATCCTCCAATCACACGCGCAAATAAGGTTGAATAGCTTGATATATTGTTTCGACAGAAAAGTCACAGAGAGTTGACCGCTTTTCAATTCTAATTTCGAAATTTATTGCGCGTCGAATAATTATAAAGCATTCGATAGAATTTATGCGTCCTTCATAGATTTGATCTTCTAATTAAGCTGCGTCCCTTTGCATCGTTATTTTAATTAGCCGAGTATGTGATGAATTAAACCGTTGAAGAAATAATGCAATAATATGCAATTAATTAGAAGATTAGATCGAGAGAACTTTTCAGCTTAATCTTAATTGGCGATTACGCGTGGATTATTTTAGTATATTATTAGTTCTTCTTTTAAATCCTACGGAATATATCTCTATATTTTTCAAATTATTATATTATTATATTTAAATTTAAACAATCTTGGTTATAAAATAATGAAAGCATGACAATCGAATTTCGATTCGTTTTATTTTAATCAGAAAATATCAGAATATAAAATATATTTTCAGGCAAGTTATATACTTAAAGTATAAATAATATAATTAATAATTATTTGCAACAGAATTGTAATAAGATTTTTATTCCTATCTCCTTATCTGCAATTAAATAATAAGAATATCGTTTGTAGTTAATGTGCGTGAAATGAGTCATACATGCCTTCGCAGTGTAATGACTTCAAACAATCATACAGTGAAAATCATCAAGCGTGATTCCTAGATCGATGATCATTATTGATGATAGTCTTCTAGGATAGGTTATCATTTTATTTGTTAATGTATCGTGCACATACACACATACACCCGCATACACATTTACACAATGAACGAGAAACTTCTTTCTATAATAAAATATAAAATATATATGTATATATATATATATATATATATATATATAATAAATAAATAAAAAAAATATATATATATAATTTATTTAAAAAATGCTGAAACATGGTTGGGAAAACCATCGAAATTAACAAATCATTGATATAGAATGATAGAATATCTTGTTAACAACAATTTTAAGTATTCATGATGTTGTTGTACTCGTGACGTGTGATAATAGAACAATTTTTTCTTTTATAGCAAAATATACATTACGATTACAAATTTTCGATCTAAATTTGAAAGTAAGACAGATTAATTAAGCCAATTGAAAGACATAAATAAATCTTTTAACAAGATTGTTAAAAAAAGAAAATAAAATTTTTCTTGTAACATCTATGGGAATAATAGAAAGATGCTTTTCTTATTATGCACTTCTTATATGACGTAACATTTTACGTCACGGGCAAGATCGACGTTCCGGTAGTTAGAGTAATGAATTATACATCTAATCTAATTGTAACGTCTCGTAGTCAAGGGAGATCTTTTCGTTGCGATAATATAGCTAAGTAAGTCAGAGAAAGTATCTCTTCTCGATAATTATACCAACGTGCGCTGGAAAAATATATCCGCTGCGAGGGCAACGTTTTCGTGAGAAAACGTATCAAGATGCGTCACGTGCTCGCACAATCGAGCAAAAAAATCGAGCATTTTATTTAAAATCCGAGTCTTTTATTCAAATTTTAAAACGCGATCAAGCATGCATGTACCCACCTTTTTCGTGGCTCTAACTGTCTCTTGTTTGCAATTTTTGCTGAAATTCATATTAAGATCGATGTATAAATGATTGTTGTTCAAGAGTAATGCGGGCGGTTCCATAGGTGGTGGATTGGCTTCTTTTTTGTGTCTTAAACGCCTCTCGGTTCTCTCTTGTCGCGTACGTAGTACGAGCACCACATTTCGGTCCAGCATATTTAATTCGATTGAGAATCAATCGAAGACTTGACTTGAAAAATTGCTTTCTTAATTTTTAATGTCCAATGTCAGATTTTTCGTAACACTGCACTACAGGTCTAACACTATATAAGAGTTAAGGGTGCAGTACGATATATTTGTCATGAGATTAAAACTTTATAAAAAGCAACGAAAGACAAGATCAAGTGTTGAAAGAAACATTCTTCGTTTTCTCGCGACACATCAGATATTATAGCGTCCCAACTTGTAATCGCGATCAGTTCGAAGAGAGGCGCAATTTATCAGCTGTTTTATTGAACGTTTAAGCAAAGCCGAGAAGAGAATTTTTTAAAATTCCGACGATGATGCGACGATTAGGGAGGGATTCGTGAACCGGCCGTAAGAGAACGATAGTAACGTGTGCCGGATGAATGCAGAGTCCCAGCATTTATTGGTTCGGATTAGCCTGGACGTTATCGTCTACCATGTTATCGGCGCGAGCGAGGCGCCTATAAAAAAATGTTGGGCGCCTTGCAGACACAATCGTATTCCAATGCGTATACGGAATAAAGGAAGGAGAAGAAGATTGCGATGAAGAGGGAAATCCGCGCACGCGACTAGGACCACGATTTACGGAGAGTCAATGACCTCCAAAAGTTCTAGACGATGTGCATTTTTCTAGAAACGGTGGAGTTTTCTTGGAGCTTCAATTCATCTGAAATTTTTATTCCCGTTATCAATATAATTATCGCCAGATTTGCAACATTAATACTATATGCTTATGCATTAATTATTTTAATGTTTCAATAACGAATTTATAACCCAAATTATGCAGAAAAGAAGAAAAAAAATTGCATTTCTGTGATGCACGCGATATCGATCGCTCCTTCGTCGTGCATTAGTCAGGTAAAGATTGCGCGTTTAGAATAAGAAACTCCATCGATGAACGATTCAATACGTAAAATGAAAAAAATTATCGTCGCGTTATCGCTCGTCGACTAGAATATTATCGCCGATTATACATAAAGTTTCGCCACTTTACTCTCTAGAAACATCGAAAGTGCGTCAATAGGATTATTTTCGCTGCAGCTTTCTCGTTTCACAGAAGGAAAGCGCAAGGGGCGATCTTGTATGACGAGAATAACAACGTTACGCTGAACCTACGTAGTTCAACCTGTTTACATTCGATGAGAAACAAGCCGTGGGTTCCGCGGTTTTATCATCGATACTCTTTCCCTGTAAATCCTCGTAATCGAGTTACACCGATCTTGTGACACGGTTACGTATACGCATCGATAGATATATTATCCTTCGGTAGCCATTTCAAGAGAGAAATATAATACATTAATACGACAAAGTATATGCAGTGATATTGAATGCCACATATATTGCGTATCGCGAGCAACAATTTAATTAAATATACATATGTTATATATTACAACAAAAAACTATATGTTAATTTACGATACAGTTCGATAATCGCACTCTAATACGTGACCAGAGATGAACCAAATCGATATTATTGCTATAAATGAACATGAAAGACATCGGGAAAAAAAGAGAAACGATGTCATGCGATATCTACATTCGAAATGAGATGGAAAACCGTACATTACGTTACATCAGCCAGAATTAGAAACATTATTATTTAGATATGTACAAATGAATGTAATGATAAGAATGGTTATAAGAATGAGATAAATGTTATACAATATTTCACGTTCGCTAACTGGCGCCAAGAAATTGTTTTGATTCAGAGATTTATGATTATCACTTTATTCATGCATGAACATTACTTAATGGAATCAATCTATCAGAATAATTTTGATATATAATTGTAAGTATATAATTTTGATGAGACAAAAATACTATCTTCTCTATAGTAATTTTAAAAGAATGCAAATAATCTACAATTTATAAATTTTTCCTTAACAAAAAGAAAAACTCTCTTATAAGAGTTTAAATAATTTAAATAAATTTAATTTAATCATCATATTCGAAATAAATTCAAAATTATTCGACGTAAACTTAAAATAGAATTGAAGGGTTTAATCTAACATGATTAAATTATTGACTTATATTGACCACTGATATATTTATCTTTATTACGGTCGATATAGAAAAGCAACACGATATCTACCAGAAAGACAAACTTTACATTTACATGATGCAGCAATATATATGCAACTGCAGCACCCTACCTATTAAAATAATAATTATTAATAAAAATGAAACGTGTATAGTAAAATATCTAAATTTAATTTTCTACATTTTTTATTTTGATAATATAAACCCAATAAATATTTATATAATTGT